TATATATTATATAGATAACACAAACAATGCTGTATACTCTGTGGTATATAGTGTAACGAAATTATAAACACTACGAGAGATAAATCACATTATGAAGGGAACTTATTTGATTTTTTTATTCATTATTGCAACTGAAAAAGTTGTTTCTGAAACTGATCTAATAAAAATTATTTAAATGTTTCTTAAATATTTAATTAATAAATACGTCCACTGCGAATTTATTCGAATCTGAAATATTCCTTCCGAAGCCATATATCCAGCAAAAATATAAAAATCAGCGGGCATTAATCACGGGCCGCGACAGATATTCAAGTAGCTGGAGAAGAAATCCCAATTATCTTTGCAAGCAACTTCAATAATTACAATAATCACTACGCTAGTATAACGCGTGCCAATAAATGATACAATCACAATCTCACTCGCACATTATTTGCAACTCTCGGAACTTTATAAATAATAATGGTTCGAAATTTGAATTCGCATTCGCATTTCACTTTAGAATTCCTCGTTTTTGACAAATTTTAATACTTTGATATTGTTATTCGTTTTTAACGGACATTATAGTAGGTATTATTTATAATGACGTCACTTATGAAGAATGTACTTCAAATGCGTTACAATGCGTGCTGATCAGATTTGATGACAACTTTACTCATAATAACTAACAACTAACCAATGAGGGCGAATAATCTTACGCTCACCAGATGTCTCTAGTTGGGACTAAGGTGAAGTTATTTGTTAGAAGGTTACATGGTGCCATCATCATTGAAAAGTTGCATTTTAAATAAAAGTTATTTTTTTATTTGTGGTGTATGTACCTAAATACACAAAACTCAATATTCTTTAATATTTTACACATTTTTAACTTTTTAGGGGTACGAATCTGCTGACTGCCCGTCCATCCGTCCGTCCGTCTGTCTGTCTATCAGCGGGCTGTATCTCATACCTATCTTCACGCACAATCCCTGAAGGGGTAGCCAGAGAGAACAGATCGCAAAGTGTCACGATCCTTACATACCTCTGATCCTTACATATCTCATAAATCCATAATATAAGTAGACAGTTGAAATTTTCGCAGAATGTGTATTTCTGTTGCCGCTTTAACGACAAATAATAAAAATAAATTAAAAATTAAAGTGGGCTCCCGTACTACCAATGTGTATTACGGTGGTACGGAACCCTTCATGCGCGAGTCCGACTCGCACTTGGCCGGTTATTTAATTCTTCTCCTAAAAGGAATATCCTTAATTTGGTTTATAGATTTCTAATCCAATTAATATAAAATATAACTAATATTTCGGAAAGAAACATTAACCTCTACACTCTTCTAACAAATTTACTTTTCCCGTTATGAAATCAGTCAAATATTCACCTTATTCGTAAGTGGCGCTGGAGGCAGAAAAGGTTGCGGATGCCCACATTGACTCGCCTTAAGGTAAAGATATCAGTGGACGTATCTATCAAGTGAAATACACAAATAATTCGATTCAACTCATTTCAATACAATATATAATCTATAATTTAGAACGTTAATACGTTTACAATAATATGACATAATTTACATTCATTCTTTGATATTATATGGTTATGTGTATACCATAACATACTAGTTACTAGTAGCAATATAAATCAATCGTGGCGCTCACACAACAAAAGCATAGAAAAAAAAAACAAAATAATGTGATCACAAAAAATATAATTCGTTATAAATTCTATTTACAATAATAATACGAGTGACTACAAAAGAATTTCCTTAAGGACAATTTGCGATACGTTAATACAACATGGTAACCTACTCGAGCATCGAAAATACGGAGCGGTTTTCAAACAGAACGTACCAAATGGTAGAAAAATTGCTACAGGATGTTGTCGAACATGCTGTATATAAAGGTCTTATCTAAAAATTTCTGGCAGGCGTTATAGATTCGGCATAAAAATTTCAAAATTATTTCTTCATTTAATGTGTATGATAATTAGTGATTGGTATATTGGGGCAATTATACCTAAAGTAAACATAATTAATGTTCCAAAATTCATGGGTTGCAAAACCTCACAAACTGCCACGTATTTAACTTAACTTTCCAATTTTATGATGCTGACATATACTTTTGCATAAAAATCTATGAATATCATTTAGAAACGAATGTCCATATTCAAACAACATATTAATGAAGTTAATTTTAGGTGTAATTACACCCATATATCCTATCACTGAGTCTAGCAAAAAACATTAAACAATAGGCTAGTCAAATGCAATTTTCAGGACTATTAGATTGTAGGGAATTTTACGAATAGTTGCGCGAAAGCTAATAAAAACTAATTATACTCTATGTGAAAAAAAATAAGCTCGTAATTTAACGGCACATCCAAAATCAGCTTTTAGCAAAATAAAATTAGAACACAAATTTCTAAACCAAGTCACGTAATATGCATACAGATAAAATATCATGCACAGACAATAAATACAATCTTTGATATTACTGAGACCAATACAAATAAATTGTATATAAAACGTTAGGGCAACCGACTAAAATTTGGTTAGTTTTATCAACTTTTAATACTATATAATATATCCTATAATTACATAGTTGTATAAATATCACTAAATGGATTTTATGTAGTTATAATATATTGGAAAAAACATTTTTTTTTAATTTATCGTTACATTCTGTAACTTTAAATAAATGCGTTCTCAGTGTACTGAGTGTAATGGAATAGCGAAGCACCAGCTTAGTGTCTATGCACGACAAGTCCAACAGACAGGGACAAAGCGATACGTAAAAGCAGGACAACTGACAGTGCTTGATTTATTTTACTTATTTATTTTAGTTCTTATACATTCTCTCTTAAATGAACAATATACATTAAAGAGAGCCACAAAATATACGTGCTTAGATCTGAATCAATACTATTGATAGGTGAAAAACTGGTGAATTAGTATGGTTTGTAAACTGCTGTGCAAACTTTGTATGGCTTTGTTTCTGTTTGTTTTATGGTCGTGCATAGCCTTATATTAGACCTCAACAGAGGATTTGTCGTTATAAAAGAAGTGTATAAACGGAAAAAAAAATTTGTCGAAAATTTAAAAGAAAATGGTGTTAACGTTTCCTTTATAGGCCCGATCGAACCTTTATAGGTTCGATCTTCTGGAATGATCTATCAGTCGGCTAAATCATCTTAACAACTATATGTGATTTTAGTAGCTGGGTACATTCAAACAAATCGTTTGTACGGCTACCGACGTGTACTTCTAAGTCTCCCTCAATGTTATATTGTGATACATTTGTCACTTCTCGTGACGGGTGAAGTGATCTCTTTAAGCGCTTAGTAACTAGTTTGGCTTATTGCTTTTGTAGCAGTTGAAAATTAAAAATTTCTTTCATAATTATCGATTGGCGTATTTTGTACTATCTCTTACTTTATTACTTAAGTTGGGAGATTATATTGGAGAGATGTGTAGCGACAATATAAAAAACTCTTTGAAGTCGATTAAAAATTATCAAATATTCGAGCGTAATGTACGTTGGAAGACTACGAATTACAGATACAGGCTGTTCAATTATTAAAATTTCATAAAATCCACCCGACACGAGAATTCTTTATAGCGTTAACATACATACAATAATAATATCTAAAGAACGTCTTATACTACAGTTTCGCGAACGTACGGCAACACGAGTTTCAACATTAAAACGAATGATTATAAAACGGTTGAAAGTGCCTACCCGTGTTGCCAGATGCGATTTCCTCATAGTCAATAAATATCGATTAATACTAGTTTAAAATACCTCGACGCTAGGTGTGTTAAACGTATGCGATATTAAATCAATTCACTGCTTACCTTTTGTATTGTAACAAACACCATCATTGATCTACAATGTAGAATTTAAGACAAGAAATTTTTACAACATGAAAATAAAAATACAATCAGATTTAAAAAAAAAATAATTTCTTTTGACATTTGATATTTTTTAAAGATATGCAGTGAAAAGATTCAAAGTTACGTATTCTTACACACTACGTATATATAATACGTATTCGAATAAATATCTTTAAGTATAAAATTAAAAAAACACAACTTGCGTTTATGCTTCGATATTAGTGCGCTAAGTCTAATCTCTTCGTTACCTCGCTACCTCGATTCACGATTTTTTTTCTTTCCCAAACAGAGTTAGTCTTTATGTGAAAAAAGTATTTTGAATCAGCCCTATATTTAACGTCACCTATCACAAAAAATAAACCATAATATTACAGTTTAATGACACTCTGTACAAGAAAGAAATGGCTTTCCGAACCTGTTTAAATCGCAATCAACGCGATACTAATGGCAACACAAACGATTACGTCTAGTGATGCCATAATAGTCGTTGTATTTTTTACGACGCTGGCAAACCTAAGTATGTAATACATCGTTTTAATCACATTATACCGTTTAGACATTGATGAACATAAATTTCATATGCACTCGCTCATTTAATACACAATTTTAATACATAATCCAGTATTTTTATAGTTATGTTATATATTCATTATACATAATATGTTAATAAAATTAGGTTTTATCCAGTCAATAGGCATTTTGATAAATCCAGATGATCAAATTAGCACAGTAGTACAAACTTAAGGAGCTATCATTACTGTTGTTATTATATAAACAACTTTAACCATACCATCTTTATGATTAAATACATATAGACCCTAATGGACAAAAGAATTATTTCGGTGTATACATGCGAGTAGACCCGAACGTATATACAATTGACAGCTGTCAAAACGACAGTTTAACAGGGATAATTATAATTTTAAAATTGCATCAGATGTATAATATTTACACACATTGTAGTAATTAAAAGATATAGAAACGGGTGGGAAATGTTGTTGGAAACAAGGCAATGATAAATATTTTTCTTAATATTTTCCAAAAACACAAGTGGCGTATGATAAAATAAATGTTCACCGATGCCTGGCAGACTAGTTTCACTCGGAGCGACGAGGCGGCCTTACCTGCGCGCGAACTCCGCCTTCATTGCTGTGGGAATAAGATTCAAAATTGCATGAATACTTCAAGAAGAGAAGAAAATACTATTAATAACGTTTTTGCGTTACTTATAATCTTTGATTATCGATTACTTAAATATTAATTATCTCCATATCTGCCTCTTACTATTGTCATTTAATGTAAAGGGAGAGAGAGAGAGAGAGAGAGAGAGAGAGAGAGAGAGAGAGAGAGATCTAGGACATCTAGGACTTCATCGTCACTTATCACCAGGTGGAATTGTGGTAAAGCACTGACTTATAATAAGATAAAAAAATGTATGATACTTTGAACCAAATCATTTAGAGTAAGTACCCCCCCCCCCCCTTTTAAATAAAGACCTGTGTACAACCAAGAGAGCCAACTGCATCTCGTACAGATTTTATCAGTGAAAAATTAACGAAATCATCATTCCGTATTTCAAAGTCCCCCCCAAACTGGACCCATCATATATCATATAAACATTATGTTATATTTTTTTCAAGAATAATATTATGATCATGTCTGTATATCACATCTGCCAAGCGTGATGATTAAGGCAAATTCTTAAAACGGGAGAGCCGTAAATCACGCAGTGGCCTTAATGATGACCTTGAACCACTTAGGTTTTTGTCCAGCAGTGAGCGTACATTCCTAAAATTATAATGTCGCTGAAAATGAATACTGACCATCTAAGATCTCCTTCTTGATCTGATTCAGCTGCTGCCTCATCTCCCGCAGCATCTCCTGCTTAAACGCGTCCCACTCCGCCGCCGTGACGCAGCCTCCCTCGCCGCTACCGTTTACTTGCTACAAACAAGCAGACAGACAAATATTAACTGATGGGAGCTTAAGTAAAATCCTTTATTTCATATGCTGGTTATGACATTGGAAATTATACAATAGTTATTTTGTATAATTTCCAATGTCATAACCATGGGCGTGGCTTTACTTAGTATACTGGCAGCGTTCGTCTTGTGCGCTTATGTGTCGAAAATCGCAAATCGGTGTAATTTCGCAGTATTAAGAAGAAAAGGATGAAGTGTTGTGTTTCATCGTGTAAAAACTACTCAGATAGACGCTCTGATCCTATGGATGGCATCACATTTCATTTGTAAGTAATTTTATACCTAATTCATTAAAAAGGTTCTAGGAAAATCTTCGTCGGTTTTCAAATGTAATTAAGTATATTCGACACTATAGGAATCTGTCTGGGTAGTTACCAGCCTCAAACTATTTCTGCTACCAAAGAGCAGTGCTCGCACTGCTGTATTACGCTCTTAAGGGTATAGAACTTTTTGGGTGTCCCTTTCAAGATTGCCTTTTTTTGAGCTTTACTTTGAGGCATTTTTGTATTATATTTTTGTACAATGTATTTTTTTTGCGGTCAGTCAGTTATAATTAGCTAAGCGATAACAACTCTGGTTAGACCAGCAGCTATAAAGTATACAATTGTGCGCCTATCTAAAATCACCTCTATTATTAGTAACATAAGATATAGGGTAGATTTAATCTCTAAATTTTTTATTTTTTAATAAAGCGAATATTAATTTTCCTATTCAAAACGACTCCAAGATACAGTAAAGATAGATTGGGTATAATATTTTTTTAAAAACAAAAACATACCTTGAGTATAGTTTCCTCGCTAGCGGAGCCGAAGCGTTTCCGAACTGAACGTGGCGACTGTGGAGGTTGTTGGACTGACTCCGAATTGGCTGAAATACCAAAAGGATGTTACCATTATAAGTAGGTTATTAAAAAAAATCATTCATTAATTATTCAATACAGACCATCAAAAGACCACTACTGAACATTCTCTTCCCCGTTGAGTGAATATTTGTGGTAGTTTCCATAAGTTGTTATCAGGAAGTTGTAATGCTGCTGCCTCCTGCTTAAGTTTTCCCTCTGTCGCCTCTTTTCACGGGATAATATGATACTTCATGATAGTGGACTCTTTTAAACTGCTACTTACTACGCGGCAAATAAATTAGTCTAATTTAAACTACCGTCGTGTCTGTAGCTCGATAGTCCAACTCTGGTGGGAAAGGTTATCTGAAGCCGAACACAGTGTTATATTTTTTCAATATGAACCCTTTGCAATTTAAAATAAGATACTATATAATAATATCTTATTTTAAGTTGGAACAAGTCTTAATATTTGATAATTAATGTCGATAATCTAAAAACTACATGGGCTCAGGGCCATGTCGTTTATTGATTCGGACTTCAGATTCCATAGTGATATATTTAAAAAAAAATACGACGGAACCCATCAATTTGCTTCAGAAGTCAAAATTAAGCCATATTGATTCTAATCAGGTTTTAAAATCTCACTGCAGATTATGTATGGGACAATTGTGAAAATCTATATTGATAAATGTTCGTTCCTTACATAAGATATTATTGTTTTATTTTAATTTCGTATCACGAAAACATAATATTATATATAATGATTTCTTATATTTACGCGAACACTACACATTGAATAAAACTATTTTTACGGATTTTATCGCGTTTAATTTACTTATTTTATATTCCCGACGTTTCGGTTGCTTTCCAGCAACCGTGGTCACGGGGGACTGAGGTGATTGACGTCCCGATGTCAAAGTTAACCCGGAGTACCTTCAGCTTTTTAATTATTAATTTTGGTCCGATCTACGCAGAATGAACTAACTGTGTCTTGAAGTCTTACAGTGGTATGCTTGGGTTTAGTTTTAATTTTATGAATTACAGGATCCCAAGCAGGTGGTAGTACCCAGCCTCCCTCTCTATTGAAATTAGGATGTTTTTTAATTTCAATAGCCTCACGTATCATCCTTGGCAGGAATCGATGTTCTTTCGCGAGGACTTGTGGTTTATCAAATCTAATGTAATGACGGGGGCCGTCTAGGATATGATCACAAACTGCAGACTTCCCGGAACGTTGGTGCTTCACGTCAGCTATGTGTTCTTTTACGCGGGTTTTTATTGATCGTTTTGTTTGCCCTATATATGAGAGACTACACTCACAATCAAGCTTGTATACTCCTGCATCTTGTAGAGGAATATTGCACTTGACGGATGGTAAGAACTGACTAATCTTCTTCGGCGGCTTGAAAAATGTTCTAATAGAAGCTCGCTTCAAGATGTAGCCAATCTTGTCTGTGACACCTCTGACATATGGTAGTACAGCAGGCACACGCTCGACTGTGGCCGGCTTCACTCGGTCACTGTGACGTAGGCGCGGAACCCGAAGCTTGTTGTCGTGCAGAACCTGCTTGACGTGCTGAAGCTCGGCGGCCAGGTGTTTGTTGCAGAGAGCACGAGGGATCTGTGACAGCAAACACCTGGCCGCCGAGCTTCAGCACGTCAAGCAGGTTCTGCACGACAACAAGCTTCGGGTTCCGCGCCTACGTCACAGTGACCGAGTGAAGCCGGCCACAGTCGAGCGTGTGCCTGCTGTACTACCATATGTCAGAGGTGTCACAGACAAGATTGGCTACATCTTGAAGCGAGCTTCTATTAGAACATTTTTCAAGCCGCCGAAGAAGATTAGTCAGTTCTTACCATCCGTCAAGTGCAATATTCCTCTACAAGATGCAGGAGTATACAAGCTTGATTGTGAGTGTAGTCTCTCATATATAGGGCAAACAAAACGATCAATAAAAACCCGCGTAAAAGAACACATAGCTGACGTGAAGCACCAACGTTCCGGGAAGTCTGCAGTTTGTGATCATATCCTAGACGGCCCCCGTCATTACATTAGATTTGATAAACCACAAGTCCTCGCGAAAGAACATCGATTCCTGCCAAGGATGATACGTGAGGCTATTGAAATTAAAAAACATCCTAATTTCAATAGAGAGGGAGGCTGGGTACTACCACCTGCTTGGGATCCTGTAATTCATAAAATTAAAACTAAACCCAAGCATACCACTGTAAGACTTCAAGACACAGTTAGTTCATTCTGCGTAGATCGGACCAAAATTAATAATTAAAAAGCTGAAGGTACTCCGGGTTAACTTTGACATCGGGACGTCAATCACCTCAGTCCCCCGTGACCACGGTTGCTGGAAAGCAACCGAAACGTCGGGAATATAAAATAAGTAAATTAAACGCGATAAAATCCGTAAAAATAGTTTTATTCAATAATATTATATATTTTATCTGCGCAATTCATATTCATATCCGCTGTTTTTCTTGTATCTGCGGCTACTTACGCAATAAAATTCATTGTTGGATCAAGCCAGACTATATTATTAATTATTATCTTGTTCTAATTCTGTGCCTAGACTTCAAATATTAATATACATTTTGGGCTACAGCGAACATAAAACTTTTTTTTTTATATAGGATAGGGTGACAAACGAGCACCCAGTCCACCTGATGGTAAGTGGTTGCTGTGACTCATAGACATCGACATTTATCCTCAATAAAGATTCAAAATGCAGATGCATCGTCACCCGTGAGGACTTAGATGGAATGCCTCTTTTCCAGTAAAAGGGGTCTCCGGTTCTCTACACTCACCGTACGAAACACAGCAGAGTCAAGCTGCCATTATACGCTGGTTTTCTGTTAGAGCGTGGTCCTTCCCCGGTCGAACCGACCCATTCGTGGTACAACTATGCTACTAATATAACTGCGGCATGGCTCTACCACGTATAAAACTGGTCCTTTGAGCCGGATTAGCAAAATATTTTGACTAACGTCATAAAAGCCGTGTAAATTTAAAGCCATGCTTCAATGGAATGCCTCGTTTCAAGTAATCGGGTTCTCGATTCTCTACACACACCATATGAAATACAACAGAATTAAGCAGCTATTGCACACATTCATTCAGTAAGAGCGTGGTCCCAATCGGGTTTTTAATTACTGATTTTACTATTAGGCGTGTTTGCTTAATGAGTTAAAAATTTGTTAGTCAAGATGTGTCATGATCCTCGACCTATATACAGTTCACGTCACCATACACTATTGAAAGGAGATGTGCATCTATAGTAAGCAAACAACATTCAATGCTCTATGGTATACAACAACAATGACATAACATAACAAAATAAGCTCCCGTCGAAAACATTGCCATATTTCTAAAATAATTAATTATCAGTCTTAATATTAAGTCTGTGTTGAGGATGAGAGGACTTTTTGAAGGGTTCATTTCCAAAATGTTTGTATCAACCAACGTTGTTCACCATATAAAAATTTTCGAGTCTTGACTCGCATTTTTCCTTTTTTGGTAATAAAACTTGAGAACTACGTTGAAAGAAGAAAAAGCGTTGCCAAACTTCGTTCGCTTCTTTGACTGTAATAAAATACATTCTGAAGTAATTCTCGATTGTCACGAGATAGAATTTGCGCGCGGGATTTCTGGCGTGTTATATATTTTTAAAACAGATGGTCTACCCAGGCATAATGGTTAATCCACCCCCTCCCCCCCGTCTTTCTATTAATAGTATAGAGATTAGATTATCCTAAAAATTCTTCTAGTGGAACAAGGTTATAAGCAGCATTGCGAAAATAAAACAAAAGCGAAGCCACTCACGAGTGGTGCCATTACATGCGGCGGGCAGTCGATGTGGTAACGTCGCGGATCTCTCCCACGTCTTCAGCGGTGTGGAGTTTGCGGAATTGTCGGTGGATGACTCCTGCAAGAGAAACCTTTGGTGTTATATTAAAAATAATAATAATTGGTATGTTTTGATGTTTTACTTTTGCTAGTGTTAAGTAATAAAAAAATATCCTTTATAATAATTTGTTTTTAAAAATTTATATCCAATTGTTGCGTCACAATGTGGAGTTTTTGGTAGATTTTGCCGGTAGCTTGTGCCAGCAGAGTCGATGACGATAGTATGTCATGGCCAAAGAAGGCAAAATAACTTGAGGCTAACATAATAATTGGAGCACACACATTCACCATAGAATAGAATAGAATGATTTTTATTTAATATTGATTATTACATAATATTTATTGAAAGTCATTTTTTATTTACCACTGGTTACTGGAAACTACTTCTGTCTTGGGAAAAACCAGCAAGAAACTCAGCGGGACTTTTTTTAAACATAATTTCACTTAATAATAATTTTGTTTATACAATTTTAAATGAATCTTCATAGAACCAGCATGGTGGCGATCGCCTTATTCCCAGGGGTTATTTTCATTCATGTCTTTCTTGATATTATAATAACCGTTTTTGTACAGTTTTTTTTTTGATAAAACTTTTTAAACTTGTTTATTGACAAACTTTGAACATGTGGGGATTTTGTTGTAAAAGCGTATACATTGCTCCATAAATGAATTACTAATTCTGTGGAGTTTAGTAACTGGCATTACAAGCTTATGTTTGTTTCTAGTGTTTAAGGTATGAATTATTCTTATTCTTATTAAAGCTATTTATGTTTTTATGTACATACATAAAAACATAAATATAAAAACATACGTAAAAACACATTTTCATAAATATATTGCGATGCCAAAGTTAATATGTTTATTTCTTTAAATTTTTCTCTGCGGGATTCTTTACAATTTAGGTTATAAATCGCCCGTATGTCTCTTTTTTGCAAAACAAATATAGCTTCAATATCAGTCGCATTACTCCATAGCAAAATTTCATAAGACATTATGCTAAGAAAGTAACTAAAATATACTAATCTAGCTGTTTCAACATCTGTGAGACTTGTAATTTTTCTCACAGCATATGCTGCAGAACTAAGTTTGCTTGCTAATTTAGATATATGGGGGCGGGCCAGCGTGCGCGCCATCTCGTGCATCATGCAGTGCAGCGTGCCGCCCGCCCGCGCGCCGCCCTCCGCACCCCCCGCACCCGCACCCCCGGCACCCCCAACACATTGAACAGTAATACCGGTGAGGTGCAGGCTGCGTTACCTCGGCGCGGTCGAGGTGCGCGCGGCGGCGGGCCAGCGTGCGCGCCATCTCGTGCATCATGCAGTGCAGCGTGCCGCCCGCCCGCGCGCCGCCCTCCGCACCCCCCGCACCCGCACCCCCGGCACCCCCAACACATTGAACAGTAATACCGGTGAGGTGCAGGCTGCGTTACCTCGGCGCGGTCGAGGTGCGCGCGGCGGCGGGCCAGCGTGCGCGCCATCTCGTGCATCATGCAGTGCAGCGTGCCGCCCGCCCGCGCGCCGCCCTCTGCACCCCCGGCACCACCGGCACCCCCTGCACCCCCGGCACCCCCGGGGGGCGACGCCGCCTCGGAGTTTGCAATCGCACTCGCGCTCGCTTGCTGCAATACAAACGCATGCTCAATATTATTTAACTTCCCAGTAAGTCCTAAGAATGGGTGAAATGACAAAATTTTTGTACATTTAAATAAAAATATCACAATAACTTCTAGTTTAATCTGTAAAGAAAAAATAAAGAACGGCAGATAAAAATTCAATAAATGTTTGTAATGGAATAAAATTACATTTTTGTCAACCTCTTTTTAGACAAAAATACCCAGAGTACCTATTTTGGTCATAATTCGTAAAAATTCTCCAAAACGTCACACGCTCTTTATTTAGTTTTTGTATGCCGTTAAGTCTCACGCTAACTCTATCACTTTAAATTAAAGTGATTGTAACTGTGTAATTCAAGCTTTTTAAAAGAAGAGATTTCGGTACACAAATTAGATGGGGAGCAAAATCGTGTCTTAACAAGAAAATAAAGTCATTATAGTCGTAATACCGCCCGCCATCTATTTCATTCTACAAATCATTTTATCAAACAAATTGGTTGATTCAACTCTATAAATAAACATATAATGACTTGACTTTAGGAAGTAAACTGACACGCACAATTTTTTTTTATAAATCTGAAATGATAAACAAACTTACAGTCCAGAAAATAGTAGCTACTGAAATCCATGAACAACTATAATCAACTTCAAACAACGTTGGCTACAGATGCGTTGTCACCTCTGAGAAGTAACATGGAATCTCTCAGACACTGTATATTAGCTCTCTTTACCCTTAAAACCGGAATATCAGTGAAAGTATATTTTATGATGTTTCCGAAGCCTTCGAATTTATTCACCATGAGATTTTAATTAAGAAACAATAACATCAGAGTCACGAACAAAGCGCTTAAACTCATAATTTCCTACTTAAGTAATACAATGTAAAGAATTATTATCAACAGTGTTCGCGCAAAACACTTTCAAGGATTGACGCGAGAGGGCGCTCGGCGCGGTGCATTCATACCGGTTTGACTTTCGGTCGTGCGAAAAACGCCCAAGGGCAGGCAGTCGTCTTTAATCGGCGCTGACGTGAGCACGCGGTCCATTCTGTTAGGGAACTCGGAATAATTAGGCGCGGCCAGTAAATATACGGTCTATCATTGTGACGCGCATTCCTACTGGAGAGCTTCCCGGGACTTATTGTGTCTGACTCAAAACCTGCATAAGTGCATTCGGCAATATTAGATAGTGCGGCCTCTGATATTCTAGAATTAACTATTGCTTCGCGAAACGGTAGTGACCTTTGACCCTTTAAACTCCGTGTGCGTTTGTGCGGTAACCATTATGCCCAGCGATAGTTAGTGGCTTCTGTAAGTTAGTAAATCGTACGATAGAGTTAAGTGACTGTTATCGTGACGAAAGAAGAAAGTGACTGTGGACAACCTCGAAAGGCGCCCTCAAGTTGGAGCGGTGTCGACGCTCGGGCTGCTGCCGACGGCCAAGGTCTAGGTTCAATAACCATCAGTCACACCCAGATACACACCACATCACCTTTCTTTCTTTGCACTACACAACCACATGCGACCTGACCGACTCCGGAGGGACCAGTCGCCTTGGATAGGTAAGTAAGCTTCATCCAAATTCCTTCCGGTCGACTGGCCGTAGTATAACGCTCCCCCATATATTTTAGTGTAATTGGAGAGATTCCACGTGGCCACATTAAGGCCCGACCTACGTCTGTTCGGGAAATCTTCAGCTCATGGGCCCCTGAAGATTGGATCCTTTAAGGGAGCAGCCGTAGGCCGTAACAAACAGTAATAATCGTTTTGGGTCACCTGTATTAATAGGTTTTCCTCAGGGATCAATTCTCGGGCCATTCTTATTTCTAGTCTAAATTTATATCCTAGTCTTAATTAATTAAATAAATAACCTTACACTGTTGTGAATAAACATGATATAATATTATTTGCATATGATAATTCATCATTTTTTTTTTGATTACATGGCAAAAGTATAACTCTATTTATTTGCATTTTATTGTATTTTATACCTTTGTTATTCACATAATTTATAAAATTTATGAAGTGATTGTTTACACCTGCCAGTTTCTTAAATAATCCAGAGTTAACTGAAGAGAATGACATAAGGCATAAAGTCAGCCCTTCATATCCCTTAATAACTATAAGGTAAAAAAATAAATATAAAGATGACGATGTGAATAACGATATATTAAAATTAGTGTATTGGTTTAATGTTGATAATCCTCATTTAAACGATTAAAATACCAAAATTTTTTTTACGTATTATGTATGTGTATGTTTTGTGTATGTATAGACTAGACTACTAGACCGGCAATATAGAACAAAAACTGTGTTACGGCTGCGAAATGCGTTGGCGTTGGCTGAGCGGATAGTTGACACTTAAAGACATTGAAAAAGCGAAAAATAAAGCGAGAGATAAACAAGAAAAAGGCTCAAATCACTTAAGAGTCGTATCTGAGTAAGCGCGGTATATTGGTGGTGATGACGGTGATAAAGTGAAGGCACGTACCTTAGCCTGCCTCTTGAGGCGGGCCTGCTGCAGCTGCGCCGCGAAGCCGCCGGGGTCGGCGGGCGGCGCGGGGGGCGCGGGCGGCGGCGGCGGCGGGGGCGGGGACGCGGTGGCTCCGGGCGGCGGCGGCGGGGGCGGGGGCGGCGCGCCGCCCGTGCTCTGTGTGACCGCGGGGGCCGCCTGCACCACCTGCAGCGGTTGCTGCTGCTGCGGCAGCGGCTGCTGCTGCTGCTGCTGAAGACAAAGGGACAGATCATTGTGGCTAGGGTTGCCAGTTCCCGTTTTATACTTTAGAGGATTTGATAACACTTAACAAAGGATACAAATAAAGGACATCATATTGTTTTCAATAAAATGCTATTACGGTATGCGCAGTAATAAATCAACTAAAAAAAGTACCATTTCAATGTCCCGTAAGTCATATTATATGAACAATTTTAAAAACATAACAAGTAATTTTACCTCATAATGGCGGTGTAAGATTGCACTGCCCCCGTATCCTCACGTCGGTATTGTAAGAAACGACAGAAGGAAACAAACCAGGAGATAGACAGCAGCGTCTACCCAATAATGACTAAAAATAACAACCCAACTGCCAAGCGTATCAACTATTTCAAATATACCCCCTATAAAGCATTCTATTGAGGAGACCTATATACAACAGTCGACTTGTTGAAGCACCTGACAAATTATATTAGCAGCTGTCATGCCAATATTAATTCCTAAATTGTGTAATAAAAATAGCTATATACACACATTTAAAATTTTACAACCACGGCCTTGGCGAGAAACAGATTAGATTGATCACGCATAATAAATATTTTAAAATGGAAGACCAGAAAGGAGGCGTTGCTGTGGTAGGTTGCCCATTATTGGAGAAACAGTTTATCCTTTCATTCTATTACATCTTACACATTGTCGATAACAAGATCGGGCCAATTCAAAATTTTATAAGATTAATAATTGTAGTTCTTTATTTGAGATAATGACAAATGAAGGAATTAATGTCCATTTTATACCAGCTTATTCTCCCCATTTTGCTGGGCTTGCGTAGGCTGGTGTCAAATCCTTTCAATATCATTTAGTTAGAGTGCTGGGCAATTGTAATTTGACTTACGAGGAACTACATAGCACATTAATACAGATTGAGGCTATACTTCACTCCAGACCATTGACGCTTTTGTCAACGAATCATGAAGACTTGATACCACTAACGCCAGGTCTTTTTTTTTGATTGGACGCCCCTTAACTTCCTTGCGACACCAGACTATCAAGATCTGAGTACTTCAGTAAGCTCCTTAACCCGGTTTCAACTAATACAACAATTACGTCAACATTTTTGGGTTAAATGGAGCAAGGAATATGTATCTGAGCACCAGGTGCAGATGAAATGGCGTTCCTGTAAGGGCTCGTTGAAATTAGATTCGCTGGTACTCCTGGAGGAGGAGAATTCATCGCCATTAAAGTGGAAGATGTGTCACAGTCCAGTCGCAGTCCATCCAGGTTCGAACGGTGTATCAAGGGTAGCGGATATTAAAACTGGTACAGTTCGCCGATCATTTAGCTAAATTTGTTCGCTTCCTGCACCTGAAGAATCTGATTGAAAGGTAGATTTTGAACGCCTGGGGGCATGTTGAAGCGCCTGACTAATTATATTCGTAGTTCTCATGCCAATAGTTCGTAAGTTGTCGGTGTTTAAAAAATGTTGTACTTTTCTTCGTCTCGGAAATCGAAGATCAAGGAAAGGTCAATTGAGCAAATTACTGCATTTTATTATTAAAAAGAGATCATATTCCTATTCAGGACTTTAATAGGCTGTAACGTTAAGAAGTTTATTTCTGTGTTTTGTCATGTCTAATAGTGGACTTTAAAGAACAAAATTATAATACAACGGACCTAAGATAGATCCTTGTGGAACTCCATCTTCAAATTACAATGACTCAAAAGTGGTAAAGGAAGCATCATTAAGAATAATTTATGTTAGGGCAAAAAAAAAACACAAATTCGTACAAAGAGCCCTTTGATGACAATAACTAATTTCATTACAAATTTATAAAATAATAGTTTTGTCCACGAATTAAATTCTAAGACTGGTCAGTTACAAAATCTATTGTCGTGGATTTTCTTGGATCAGATCTGATCTTGGTTTATGTGTTAAGAGTTATTAAAGCAATTGGAGTAATTTTAATATTTGTAATTTAAAAAAAAAATACACGTTAAAAGTAAAATAACTTACCATTGGTGGCGGTTGTGGCGCGGCTGGAGGTGTTGCCGGGGCGATTGGTCCCTGCAAAGGACCCTGTAAAATGTATGTAATCTGTGAAAATGTAAGAGAGGAAGAAAAGATAAACCTAATCGGTTGTGCTAAAGACAAATTGGAATCACAACCAAAAATAGTATCAGACACACAAATAATTCCTCCATCACAATACGCTTATTTAAACTTTTAAGTGAATAATCTCACATTTGCTGCGGCTGGCAGATTCTGATGCGGCGGGACAGGTGGCGGTGCGTTCACAGCCGTTAGTGACATGTTAGGAGGCATGGGAGCGCTGTAACAAATAAATAAAGAAAGTTAAAATATAAAACATTTTATTGTCCACGAAACATTTTGGTTAAAAAAGTTCTCGAGTGGCAGCCTTGTACCGGTAGGAGAAGTGTAGTGCGCCCCCCCCCCCCCCCCACTAGATGGAGTGACGACCTGGTAAGACATACAGGAAGTCGATGGATGCAAGTGGCTCAGGACCGTGCTTTGTGGGATTCCTTGGGGGAGGCCTATGTTCAGCAGGGGACTTGTGAAGGGCTGTAATGATGATGATGATGATGAAACATTTTGAAACGCGTCTAGAAGCTTTTCCCGTGATTTTTTTTTATAGAATAAGAGTTACAACAATCCACCTGATGGTAAGTGAATGAATGCTGTAGCTCATAGACGTCTAATTTTATCCTCGATTAAGAATCATGATGCAGATACGTTGTCACCCCTGAGGACTAAGATGGAATGTCTCGTTTTCGAAACACAGCAGCATTAAGTTGCTACTTTACGCCGGTATTCTGTGAGAGCGTGGACTTTGGTCGAGTCGACAAATTCGTGTTGCAACCATAATATAGCTGCAGCTTGGCTTTACCACGTAAAAATCCGATCTGTATGATGCAGGAAGGGTACATTGGTAATGAAGAATGAATGCCTACGGTTAAGGTCCTCAACGAAATTAATAACGTTTTATTACATGAGCATTTTCATATTCTGCGTACAGGGCGGTAAGAAAGAAAATTTATTTTCTTTCTTTCTACAAAACAAAACATATTTAGAAAATACACGGCAAATAAATATGAATAAGTAAATAATTTATTGGATTGCAACAACAAAAAGTCAACCGAAATGGATTATGCCGCGGCAGTACGTACATACTGTACCGTATTTTTTGTGCAGCGGTATCCTTGTGGGGGGAAAAGGGGGAGGAGGGGTGTGTGTATTACTGCAAGTATCTGCTGATGCGGTGATGTGATTGCGGAGGTAGAGGTGGGGGAAGAGTGGGGGAAGGGTGTATGTATTCCTGTACGTACCTGCTGATGCGGTGATGTGATTGAGGGGGAAGAGGTGGGGGAGGGGGTGGGGAAGTATGTATGTATTCTTGCACGTACCTGCTGGTGCGGTGATGTGAATGCGGGGGGAAGATGTGGTGGGAGGATGTGGGGGAGGATGTATGTATTCCTGCACGTACCTGCTGGTGCGGTGATGTGATTGCGGGGCTAGAGGTGGGGGAGGAGTGGGGGAAGGGTGTATGTATTCCTGTACGTACCTGCTGATGCGGTGATGTGATTGCGGTGGGAGAGGTGGGGAGGGGGTGGGGAAGTATGTATGTATTCCTGCACGTACCTGCTGATGCAGTGATATGATTGCCGGGAGAAGAGGTGGGGGAGGGGGTGGGGAAGTATGTATGTATTCCTGTACGTACCTGCTGGTGCGGTGATGTGATTGCGGGGGGAAGAGGTGGGAGAGGGGGTGAGGAAGTATGTATGTATTCCTGCACGTACCTGCTGGTGCGGTGATGTGATTGCGGGGGGAAGGGGGTGGGGAAGTATGTATGTACTCCTGCACGTACCTGCTGATGCGGTGATGTGATTGCGGGGGGAAGAGGTGGGAGAGGGGGTGAGGAAGTATGTATGTACTCCTGCACGTACCTGCTGATGCGGTGATGTGATTGCGGGGGGAAGAGGTGGGAGAGGGGGTGAGGAAGTATGTATGTATTCCTGTACGTACCTGCTGGTGCGGTGATGTGATTGCGGGGGGAAGAGGTGGGAGAGGGGGTGAGGAAGTATGTATGTATTCCTGTACGTACCTGCTGGTGCGGTGATGTGATTGCGGGGGGAAGAGGTGGGAGAGGGGGTGAGGAAGTATGTATGTATTCCTGTACGTACCTGCTGGTGCGGTGATGTGATTGCGGGGGGAAGAGCTGGGAGAGGGGGTGAGGAAGTATGTATGTATTCCTGTACGTACCTGCTGGTGCGGTGATGTGATTGCGGGGGGAAGAGGTGGGAGAGGGGGTGAGGAAGTATGTATGTATTCCTGCACGTACCTGCTGGTGCGGTGATGTGATTGCGGGGAGAAGAGGTGGGAGAGGGGGTGAGGAAGTATGTATGTATTCCTGTTCGTACCTGCTGGTGCCGTGATGTGATTGCGGGGAGAAGAGGTGGGAGAGGGGGTGAGGAAGTATGTATGTATTCCTGTACGTACCTGCTGGTGCGGTGATGTAATTGCGGGGGGAAGAGGTGGGAGAGGGGGTGAGGAAGTATGTATGTATTCCTGTACGTACCTGCTGGTGCCGTGATGTGATTGCGGGGAGAAGAGGTGGGAGAGGGGGTGAGGAAGTATGTATGTATTCCTGTACGTACCTGCTGGTGCGGTGATGTGATTGCGGGGGGAAGAGGTGGGAGAGGGGGTGAGGAAGTATGTATGTATTCCTGTACGTACCTGCTGGTGCGGTGATGTGATTGCGGGGGGAAGAGGTGGGAGAGGGGGTGAGGAAGTATGTATGTATCCCTGCACGTACCTGCTGGTGCGGTGATGTGATTGCGGGGGGAAGAGGTGGGAGAGGGGTTGAGGAAGTATGTATGTATTCCTGTACGTACCTGCTGGTGCGGTGATGTGATTGCGGGGGGAAGAGGTGGGAGAGGGGGTGAAGAAGTATGTATGTATTCCTGTACGTACCTGCTGGTGCGGTGATGTGATTGCGGGGGGAAGAGGTGGGAGAGGGGGTGAGGAAGTATGTATGTATTCCTGTACGTACCTGCTGGTGCGGTGATGTGATTGCGGGGGGAAGAGGTGGGAGAGGGGGTGAGGAAGTATGTATGTATTCCTGTACGTACCTGCTGGTGCGGTGATGTGATTGCGGGGGGAAGAGCTGGGAGAGGGGGTGAGGAAGTATGTATGTATTCCTGTACGTACCTGCTGGTGCGGTGATGTGATTGCGGGGGGAAGAGGTGGGAGAGGGGGTGAGGAAGTATGTATGTATTCCTGCACGTACCTGCTGGTGCGGTGATGTGATTGCGGGGGGAAGAGGTGGGAGAGGGGGTGAGGAAGTATGTATGTATTCCTGTACGTACCTGCTGGTGCGGTGATGTGATTGCGGGGGGAAGAGGTGGGAGAGGGGGTGAGGAAGTATGTATGTATTCCTGTACGTACCTGCTGGTGCGGTGATGTGATTGCGGGGGGAAGAGGTGGGAGAAGGGGTGAGGAAGTATGTATGTATTCCTGTACGTACCTGCTGGTGCGGTGATGTGATTGCGGGGGGAAGAGGTGGGAGAGGGGGTGAGGAAGTATGTATGTATTCCTGTACGTACCTGCTGGTGCGGTGATGTGATTGCGGGGGGAAGAGGTGGGAGAGGGGGTGAGGAAGTATGTATGTATTCCTGCACGTACCTGCTGGTGCGGTGATGTGATTGCGGGGGGAAGAGGTGGGAGAGGGGGTGAGGAAGTATGTATGTATTCCTGTACGTACCTGCTGGTGCGGTGATGTGATTGCGGGGGGAAGAGGTGGGAGAGGGGGTGAGGAAGTATGTATGTATTCCTGTACGTACCTGCTGGTGCGGTGATGTGATTGCGGGGGGAAGAGGTGGGAGAGGGGGTGAGGAAGTATGTATGTATTCCTGTACGTACCTGCTGGTGCGGTGATGTGATTGCGGGGGGAAGAGGTGGGAGAGGGGGTGAGGAAGTATGTATGTATTCCTGTACGTACCTGCTGGTGCGGTGATGTGATTGCGGGGGGAAGAGGTGGGAGAGGGGGTGAGGAAGTATGTATGTATTCCTGTACGTACCTGCTGGTGCGGTGATGTGATTGCGGGGGGAAGAGGTGGGAGAGGGGGTGAGGAAGTATGTATGTATTCCTGTACGTACCTGCTGGTGCGGTGATGTGATTGCGGGGGGAAGAGGTGGGAGAGGGGGTGAGGAAGTATGTATGTATTCCTGTACGTACCTGCTGGTGCGGTGATGTGATTGCGGGGGGAAGAGGTGGGAGAGGGGGTGAGGAAGTATGTATGTATTCCTGCACGTACCTGCTGGTGCGGTGATGTGATTGCGGGGGGAAGAGGTGGGAGAGGGGGTGAGGAAGTATGTATGTATTCCTGCACGTACCTGCTGGTGCGGTGATGTGATTGCGGGGGGAAGAGGTGGGAGAGGGGGTGAGGAAGTATGTATGTATTCCTGTACGTACCTGCTGGTGCGGTGATGTGATTGCGGGGGGAAGAGGTGGGAGAGGGGGTGAGGAAGTATGTATGTATTCCTGCACGTACCTGCTGGTGCGGTGATGTGATTGCGGGGGGAAGAGGTGGGAGAGGGGGTGAGGAAGTATGTATGTATTCCTGTACGTACCTGCTGGTGCGGTGATGTGATTGCGGGGGGAAGAGGTGGGAGAGGGGGTGAGGAAGTATGTATGTATTCCTGCACGTACCTGCTGGTGCGGTGATGTGATTGCGGGGGGAAGAGGTGGGAGAGGGGGTGAGGAAGTATGTATGTATTCCTGCACGTACCTGCTGGTGCGGTGATGTGATTGCGGGGGAAGAGGTGGGAGAGGGGGTGAGGAAGTATGTATGTATTCCTGCACGTACCTGCTGGTGCGGTGATGTCCGGGCGGCGGGTGCGGAGCGTGCGGCAGCGTGTGAGGCGCGTGCGGCGGGGGAGCGGGGGGAGCAGCCGACACGGTGGATAGCTGGGACGCAGACTGCAACAAAAGAACACATTTTAATAAAACAATAAAATAAGCCCCAATGACAGGTAACCTGGAAGAACTTTTTGCATTGATAACTTGCCGAGTTCTATTAGTTAAGTATGAAGTAATAAGTTTCAGAGCCATGTTCTTGACACCATAAAGCTGTAGTTTCGTGATTAATGTTTCACGGTGAATACAGTCGAAGGCTTTGGAAAGGTCACAAAATGGACCCAAAATATCCGCTGAATTCTCCCATGCACAAAAATATGTTTAATAAACTCAACACCGGCAACGGCTCTAGCGCTGGCGCAACACCAGCAACATTAAGCTGTTATTTCACAACGGTAGAATGGGTGCGTAGTGCTTTCTCGGTCAAGCCGAGACATTCGTGCTGCAATCATAATATAATTGCAGCGTGGCTATACCACGTAAAAAAATTCAGTCATACAATAATTAAATACATATTTAGATATCATTGAATACCTGATGGTGCTGGTGAGGGGCGTGGTACTGGCTCGGTTGTTGGTGGTACTGCGGATGCGGCTGTATGTGCTGATGCTGCATCTGCTGTATCTGGTTGTGCTGTTGTATCGGGTTGTGCTGTTGTATCGGGTTGTGCTGTTGCGGTATCGGGTTGTGCTGTTGCGGTATCGGGTTGTGCTGCTGCGGTATTGGGTTGTGCTGTGGCTGGACCTGGTTGTGCGGCGCGTGGTACTGCGGCTGTTGGAGCATGGCCGCGTCCTCTCGGGTCATCGTCCTGAAATTATTGGAGTAAATTAAAACTATAGTTGACCCGAAGTAAAAACGTTTGTTGGTCCACAAACGTTTGCAAGGCGGTGTCGGATTATGAAATTTGGCAGACTATAGAGTACTGTTACAACCCCCTGGTAATTCGGAACTTTTTTAAAATGATTACCTTGTAATCCGACAAATGACATAAGTATCAATTATAAAATAATAAAAAAACGCGTGTGTGTACCATGAAGCAAATACAAAAAGAAGGTGTTGTAATAAGATTTCACTATATAACAACGCGGACAATTTGCGGGGTGAGGGGATGTTAAGCCCCGCCCACTTTACTATCTACATCTACCGAAAAATAGTAAAACTACTCCAATTGTTCCATATCGATGTTGTAATGTAACTACATTAGCTACCTTGACGATAGATGGCGACCTGTTCGCAAAATGATTATAAAACTATAAAAATAATATTTCGGCGATTAAAATTTCTTTATGTCTGAATGCAAAACAAATTTCAGCACCTTCGTATGATTATTTTACTAAACAATGAGCTCTACGTACCTTTATATTTTTAATTCACATGAAATATTTAAAACATATTTAAAAGTCGACGCAGAGATTTTTCTAGAACTATTTTAATAAATTAGGTGTAAAATTGCTTACAAATAAAATGTGATGCCATCCATAGTATCAGAGCGTTTATCTAGTTTTTACACGATAAAACACAACACTTCATCCTTTTCTTCTTAATACTACGAAAATACACCGATTTGCGATTTTCAACACATAAGCGCACAAGACGAATGCTGACAGTATACTAAGTAAAGCCACGCCCACTATGATGACGTCAGGACCTACTTAGAATCACAGGGCACAGTTGCTTATGCCGTCTCCTCTTTGTATTTGCTTCATGGTGTGTACTTATGTACGCATGTAGGAAGTTATACTTTTTCCCACGAAAACTTGAGACAGTTCCCACTGAAATTGTCGCTTTGAGGTATCAGTGTGCGCGCGCATCGTAACAACTTCATGGTGTCGTTTTTAGGTGTCGGTGTGCGCACGCATCGTAAAAAATTCACTCTCATCATTTTTCCCCCTCACCCCAAAAGAAGTATAACTTCAAAAAGTGTGATGTACAATGAATACCTAAACGGTAAATGATGAATGCCCGCTAAGCCGCTACTAAGCCTGTATGAGATGATATTATCTTTATTTTAACAGAACCAGCCTATAAACTTTAAACATTGTTAATAATGATTAAACGAACTTATCTGTATGTGAATTTCGATCATAATTATACCAAGGTTTCGTCCTTCGAGATTAACATAGAACACATGTAGTATCGTGTAGTTATATGCCGATTTCGCACTTAATTTGAGCATTTATGTTTATTTATTTGTATGAAATATAAATGCCTTCTTTTAGAAGCGGTGAGTGATCTCATCAAAGATGCGTTTGTACTAGCTTTACGTCGGTTTATATTTCGCAGAGGAAAGCCGTCAGATATCTATTGTGACAAAGGCACGAATTTTGTGGCAGCCTCGAAAGAACTAGGCAATTTTTTAAACAATTTTCATTTCATTTTCAGTTTTTTATATTATGAAAGAAAAAAAAACAATAAAAATAATTTTAGAAGCAGTGAGTGATCTCAGCAAAGATGCGTTTGTACTAGCTTTACGTCGGTTTATATCTCGCAGAGGAAAGCCGTCAGATATATATTGTGACAACGGCACGAATTTTGTGGCAGCCTCGAAAGAACTAGGCAATTTTTTAAAGAATTTTTATTTCATTTTCATTTTTTTATATTATGAAAAAAAAATCATTGTTCACGCGCAGAACGCGTGGTAGTTAGGATGCAGTTTTTAAATAAAAACCTTCATCTTCATAATATAAATTATAATATCGTACTTTGGATAATCAAATTAAATGGAGTGATACAAAATCAAGAGAAGACGTCATGTTTTTACATTCACAGAAAACATTCTCTTGTTTTTACAATATTCGTGACATCTGTCTTTTTTATTCTTTACAATTATTTAAAAAATTAAAATAAAAACAAAACATATAAAAACTCCACGAACATACTCCGCTCCCCTGGAAGCTTCAGCTTTCAGTCTTCGTATTGGGGATCCAGTAGAGGACACAGGTATTTAATACCACGTTTGAGGACTCCGGTGGACGTCAGAACGTCTGCCACACGGTTTATTCCATCTGGTCCGGGGTAAAACTGTATGATACGTCCGAATTTCCACTGTAGTGGAGGATGTTTTCATGTATTTAAATGCAATCATAACGGTTGCTTTTACAATAGTAAGGAAACAGTCATACAATATTGTTCGCAAAACTAGGTTATGGTAGTAGCAATCGTGAAAAGCAGCTACAAGCATACCAATCATCTATCGCAGTAACATAAAAAAAGGAAATTGGTAAAAAACAGACAAAAAGCAAACAGTTTGTGGTATGTACTGTTCGCAACCAAGTGCCGATACGAAACAGCTGCAAACAAACTGTCTGCAATATCGTTTTCATAGGGTAGGGTACACACTTTTTATTCTAATTCGTTATCGAAATTGTAACAATAAGTTACAATATAACCTAACCTAACCTAACATAAATAACCTTGTCGTCAAAAGTTGTGAACGGTGAGGATACGTGCGCGAGTGTGGGGTACGCGACCGATGACTTCATCGCTTATTAACTTCCTTCTGCGTAGCATTGAAAGGAAGTTAATGGTTTTAGCTGGCAGTCTGTTAGTCTGTATGCCGACACGATAACTTCCGTTCCACTGGACCGATTTACTTTAAATTTGGTATGTGGATACCTTGAGGTAGTAGCTCGGTCGAGTTTGAATTTGGGTCCTGTAGGTCAAAGGGCACCAGAGATATGGGATTAACGCAGAAGGAAGTTGTTTTTCTTGAATTTAGAGTCAACTCGTTCTTTATGCGGTGCAACTTTCTTTCCAATTTACGAATCTTTCGTCCTAAATACGAGTAATCTTTAACACTATTCATACTTTCAGGCTTATTTTCACCAGACATCACAATGTTTTTTATGACCAACTTAGAAGTACGTGATATACGGCGAAGCACTAAAACGCGTATGAAGATGCAAAGATTTGAGGGTATCAAGTAAAAAAAAACGAAAATGCTCAAATTAAGTGCGAAATCGGCTTACATTTAAACACGTTACTACATGATGTGTTCTATGCTAATCTCGAAGGACGAAGCAGAAGTTATAAATAGGTTGGTTTTAATTTGACTGTTCATACTGTAACATTTATGTATGTACAACTTCGCCAAAACAATTAGGCACATGACAGGAATGCGGTTTCGGCGTCCGCACTCCCACCCCTATCCCCGCGCTTCTCATAGTGACCAACCACCGTACCTAGTTCTAAGGACGTTTTTAACTGTCATGGGCCTAATTGTTTTGGTTGCGTAGTACGTATGGTAGGTAGTGTAGAAATATTTAGAATTGAAGCACTAGAAAAATAAATAATTGTCCTGTGAGCCTATGACAATAATTATTTTACAACGCTTGGCAAATAAAAAAAAACTCAAAACAAAATTATTATTTTGTTTTGAGTTTTTTTTTTTATTTAAAGGCCAAGAGCGAAGTGACCTCGAATGACGCACGCACACGTTTTTGTATAACATCAGGCCGTAGTGGGCACTGTCGGTACACAGGCGTTTACGCACACATGCGTAGAAACTTATTATGTATGCGATAAGAATATGCCATTTTAAAAATCTATTGATTGGACTAAAAAATTATAACACTATTACCTTAATATGTTGCTTATTATTTATATTAGTATGATTTTTAATTGTTAAAAGAAATTTATAGACGTATCTTTGTGATTTTAAATTACTAATATCATGTTTTCAACACACCATCTAACTAGCATATATATCCTGAAAAATATCATATATTTTTCTGATTTAGTTTACTGCAGTGGATCTTATACTTTAAGACATTATAAAACTTGTGTTTAACTCCTGCAATCCCCTTAAAACTAGCGATCCACCCCGACTTTGCACGAGTGATTTCTGGATCTCGCTAACAGCGCCACCTACCGGGTCCAATTGAAATTTTAAACCATCCAGGGACCCACTCACACACAACAAAATTCATCAAAATCGGTCGAGCAATTTTCGATTTTTTGTGAGACTAACGGACATCAATTGATTTTTATATACAGGGTATTTTTGGAACGCTCCCGAAAACTAAGACAGGCGACAGCACCAAGTATACCTTTGATCATGGGTCACAAATACATTTGATCCTGATGAAAAAAAAATCATATTTTTACAACATTTTATTAGCTTTATTCACGCGCCATCATGTTAGTACAGCTAAATGAAACGATAATTTCATTAAAAAATTTATGAAAATACTGAAACATAAAACCAGCAGTAGAAAATAATTGATATCACCTGACTAATGGAGGTTAATGTACGCACGAACGGTGAAAAAAGAACGCTGGCCTTGAACTTGGGCACTGAGCGATTTATCACATATTGGTACGAAGGGGGCGCGACGGGGGAACAATCCGCCAGTATTACTGTGCCTGCATGCTATTGGTTCCCGCGCTTTGTTCGCTCCGAAAATACAGTCGCATACACAGCTTACTTTGCGACTCACGACGATGTTTTAAAAAGGTAGGAAAGAATAATTATATATATCTATTGTTTTATGATTAAACTAGTGAACGAAAAGGTAAATATGATAGGAGAAGGTGAATGGGGAAAATTGTGCAGTAAAATTAAAAGTGTTGAGGAAGAATACCGAAAAAATTACCATGTGTTCGACCTGATGACGGAAGCTCAAGCGAAGATGAAAGTGATGATGAAGTAGCATCCAGTAACACCAACACTCCATCAACATCTGGCTTCCATGTGGCCCAAGACGTCATAATGGACGGCGTGTCACCCTTAGCTTAAGTTTTCTTGTTACAAACTACTTTATATTTTACGATAGAAATTACAAATAATGCTCAAGTAAACATTAACCATTTTTAATTCCCACCTCTTCCAAAGTTCTAAGTAGCTAGTAAAACACCTAGTATGATTCTACAATAAAACAATTAATTACTATAATATTATAAAACAAGAGCCCAATACCATGTAGTACTTTAGAACGCGACTGTACCCACATTCCCTCCGCTGTCGACCTGTATCTAGCTCGGTACGAAACAATGCTGCGGACATAAGAAAAAAGGGCGCATATAACAATTTTTGAATAAATGAGTTAAATATACCATTCGACTCATGATAAGAAGGCGCATCTACTAATTTTTTTTTTAATTATTAAATATCAATATTTTAGAAATTATCGTAAGAATTTTAGACGTAACTGTTGATCACAGATGACATTTTTTTAGTAGAAAAGACTTATACAAATTCAACATAAAAGAAAAGACTTATTTAACCAGTTGCTACGTCATCTTTAACAATATTTGCATCGATTACTTAAATTTCAATTATTCTTTTCTTATTATTCTATATCTTATTATTAAGAGCTTATATCTTATTATTAAGAGCTGGTGTTTCACATGTGGTCCCATATAAATTTGATCGAGGTCAGACCAATAGTTTTTGAGTTATCCTTAATTATTTATATTAAAGTCGGTTGTACAAAATTTTTAATTTTTAATTATTATCGTAGTAAGTCTTGTATGATATCCCCTTTAAAATCATTACTCAAGAGATGCGGGTTGTTATTTTTTGTGTCTCACTACCAATGCTTTTCTAATATTTACTAAGAAAAAAGTAGTAAATTACTATTAGCGTCCTTTCAACTTCAAATGACCTTTCCAAAATATGTAAAAATGTTAAATGAATGGCAGTTTTTTTATTTATTAGATTGGGAAGACGCAAATAGTTATATGCGTCTTTCCTTCGATGTTTTTGTGTTACCAGGTGTATTTTTTAAGCTAAGATGAAAAGGAAAATTCGTTTTATTTAAATAAATAAACAAATTATCAAAAAAATAAGTTCGTCCTTAAAATCTTCATGTCTCTACGTATATATTTCAATTTTCATATAGATACCTTTTAATATACTTTAGACACAGGGTCTGAAAGAAAAATTCATCAATTTATTTTTTATTTCCATTTTACATTTTTGTTAGTTGCGTCCTTCTTTATTATGACGGCAGAATGTAACTCGGCCGGCTCGTGTCGCCTCACGCTGTGACGCAGTAGGTTTCAGTTTTGTCGGTGTTCGTTATTAATTGTAGTTTTTGAAACAGTTCCGTGTTGATTTTGTACACGCGTGCGCGAGCGACAGCTCGTTTTGTTTATTAAATTGTTATTACTTGTGATTACGTGTTGGTATTATTCTTGTTGTTACGTTTTTTGTTTTAATAATGCTTAACGCGTACGTTTATAGTGATTGTGAATACGGCAACATGTTAGGTATCCGAACCTAGGTACACGAAGTATCGCTAAATAAATTGTTAAGACGTCGGGATGGAACATCTATCAGTATCTACTGTGCAGTGCACAAAGTGTTGAAGCGTAACCGAATGCGCCCATACAAATTGCACAAAGTGCAAGCTTTAGTTACCGGCGATCACGACCGCCGACGAGTTTTCTGCCGTTGGTTATTATACCAGCAACAACGTGTGCCTGGTTCCATTGAGCACATTATCTGGACGGATGAGTCGACATTTACCAGAAACGGCCTGTGGAACCGAAGAAATACACACGTGTATTCAGAGGTTAAGCCGCACGCTGTTCGACAAACCGGGCACCAAACCCGATGGTCGGTTAACGTATGGGCAGGTTTATTTAAGGATCGCATACTGGGACCAGTGTTTCTGCCAGAGCGATTGAACGGACAGCGATACCTAAACTTTATAAATGAACAGTTGGTTGACATTTTAAACGACCTATCGTTGGCTGAATATCGCCGCACATAGTTCTAGCATGATGGTACCCCTCCACATTTCGTGAGGTTCGTCCGTGAGCGCCTCAATGAACTATTTGATGATCGCTAGATCGGCAGAATAGGACCACACGCTTGGCCACCTCGCTCACCAGATCTGACCCCGTTAGACTTCTTTTTATGGGGTATGTGAAAGAAAGGGTTTTTAATCGTGAGTGTGATAGTGCTGACGAAATGCGCCAAAGGATCGTGGATGCTTTCGAGAAACTACGTTCAGACTGTGTCGAAGACCACACGATGATGCCCCGCCTGCATCCAAATCTACCTTGAAATGAATGGAGCACAATTTGAGCCGCATCTCATAAGACCACGGAGGATTTAGAGCGGTAAGCTGTTTCATAACTATTTTTTTAAATAACTTAGTACTAGACTAATCTGACTTGGTACATAACTGAATAAATGAGAATAATAAACATACCTACACGATGAATAAAAACGCATGACTCCAACCTTGGTTACATTTCATTTAAGTATTTTTTCATTAGCGGGGAATCGAACCAGTTATTTGGGTTATTTAACCTGTAAATTCGGATTAAAGTGGCTACGTGGAGACAAGCACAGTGGCAAAATAGTAGGTTAAGTAGATAAGTTAGGTATTTAGACAAGTGTTGTAAATTATTAGGTATTGTGGTATGGCCCGCTAGTTGCGGGCCGCGCGAATTTGCGTTCGCGCGTACATTGACCTTTGATCAGGTGATATCAATTCAGTAATTCCACTGCTGGTTTTGTTTCATTATTTTCATGATATTTTTTATGAAATTATCGTTTCATTTAGCTGTACTAACATGATGGCGCGTGAATAAAGCTAATAAAACGTTGTAAAAAGATGATTTTTTTTTCATCAGGATCGAATTTATTTGTGACTCATGATCAAAGGTATACTTGGTGTTGTCGCCTGTCTTAGTTTTCGGGAGCTTTCCAAAAATACCCTGTATAGAGATAATTATAGCAACGAATAAAGATGTTTGTTCTTTCTTTTTGTGAGGCAATCTATGGGGGAGGCCTATATGCACCTGCGGACCTTTGATAGGGTTTTGTTGTGGAATAAAGTAATTGGAAACTTTCAATTGTTCGTCAATCTTTGTTCGAAATTCTCGTTTTCTAGGTGAACCGATTTTGATAATTCTTTTTTTTTATTTGAAAGCTGGTGCTTCTCATGTGGTCCTCCCATATAAATGTGATCAAGATTTGACCAGTAGTTTTTGAGTTATGCTCAATAATGCGTATTTAATTGACTTAGACTACATTGATGATGTTCTCATTTTATTTATCGGTTGCACAAAATTATTCATTTTACCACTTGTTATGTTTGTTGTACAGTCAATATAAACTTTTAATTAAAAAGATTTATATTGTTAATTTTAGCCAATCTTTAACTGAATTTCTTAGGGTTCGCCTTCGGCTTCGACCAGAAATCGAACTTCGAACGGATACTACCTATGAGAGACTATTGCACGAATGTTTTCCCTAGTTGAATGTGTACCGAGGTCGCCCCACAAAAAAGTACCACGCCCCAGCTGTTCCCACCTGTACCCCATGTCTTCGTCGTAGTGAGTGTTGTTGTGCCCGTTGTACGGCACCGGCGGGTTCGGTGGCTGCGGTGGCGGTGGCACGCTGTTTGTATTCGTCTTGTTCGCCAGGATCTGGGAACAAACGATATACATATGTACACAACGATTCGTAACGTTCTCAAACCTACAAAGGAAGATTTGTAGAGCGCTTCGTATATTTCAATTAATACATACATACATACATATAGTCACGCCTCTTTCCCGTTGGGATAGGCAGAGAACACTTCTTTCCACTTGCTACGATCCTTACATACTTGTTTCGCTTCGTCCACTTTCATTATTCCCTTCATACATGCTCTTCGGTTTAGGGTACTCTTGACCTGGCCTTTTTTCAAGACGTCCCTGATTTGGTCTAAAAACGTCTGCCTAGGTCTACCCCTTCCAACACTTTCATTCACACTCGCCTTATACACTTTTTTCGTTAATCGTTCTTCATTCATTCTCTCAACATGGCCAAAGCATCTCAGCATACCTTTCTCAATTTTTGTCACTACATCTTCTTTCATAATAACCAATTAATAATGAGCTGCATTTTTATTACCCGAATGCCCCAGAAAGAGGGTAATGTTTTTTTGAGTGTATATATATATATATATATATATATATATATATATATACATATATTTCCATTTCTTTGGGACGCTCTGTAGCCTAAATATCTTGATGGATCTTAACATGAGTCGTTAGATTCTTCTAGTTTTTGAAGTAACATAGGTTAAAAAAAATAATATTTTCAGTAAACTTTACTTTTTAACGTTGTAGAGCCATGATGCAGCTATATTAATAGTATAGTTGTAGCACGAATGGGACCGGGGAAGGACCACGCTCTCACAGAATACCGGCGTAAAATAGCAACTTAATGCTGCTGTGTTTCGTATGGTGAGTGTCGAGAACCGGAGACCCTTTTTACTGGAAAAGAGGCATTCTATCTTAGTCCTCACGGCTGACGATGCATCTGCATTTCGATTCGCAAACGAAGGTAGATGTATATGTATGGACCACAGCAACTACTTACCATCAGGTGGACTGTGTATGTCATCATTATTCTATAAAAAAACTTTTTACCCAGTCGGGTTTTTTTAATTACTGTTTTAATATTTAAGCTTATTATTTTTCTAAGTATATATTAATTACACTTAATGTTTATCTATAACGCTATATAATAACATTTCCAACAGCAAGCCACCGTAATTATTTGTCATCACATCTCACTAACGTATGTTATAATGAGAGCTTATTTTTAATTGATTCCATGAAACCATACTTAACTTCTTGACTCACGCACTCACGCGCATATCTTTATTCTTTATTTCTTAATTAGCCCGTAAATATTCACTGAGGTCACTGACGTAAAAAGGACACACATACGCACCTAGAACTGTGTTGTTGGTTGCAAATGATTTTAGATATATGTGTACGTAAATGCGTGTTCTTGCAAGCTAAGTTGAGCATGGTTTTTGCGTCACGTGAAATGTACGCAGTGGTCCATTTTTTTTCTTTGTTGGTCTGAGGTAGCGGTATAACACTATCACGTTTTAAGTGTAAATTCTACACTGTAACTGTGTCAAGGCATTAATAAATTTATTACAGAACTAGCTGTTCTCCGCGACGTCGCCCGCGTGTTATTTGGGGTTTTAATTTTTTTTTCACGGAACCCTATTTCTTTTTCTAAATTAAAAGTAAGTTACTCCTTGTGACATCAGCTATCTGCCAGTGAAAATCCCGTCGAAATCGGTCCAGCCGTTTCGGAGATTAGCCGGAACAAACAGACAGACAGACAATCAGACAAAAACTTTAAAAATTGTATTTTTGTTATAAGTGCCGTATATACTTTTGTATGAATTTAGTAATAAGCTGTAATTTTGACATTACAAACATAGATTATCTCGTAGGGGGCATATTTCGCATAGTTGCCACGCTTGGCAAGCTGGTTGGCAACCGTAGTTTTTTTTATTACTAACGAGCTGTTATCAGGCACTCGCTGCTGCATAACTCCTGTTTTTATTTCAACTTCATACTCAATGTATACGTTGTCACTACCCGGTCACGAGACAGGACAACGCTCTCGCACAATACCCAACGTGAAATAGCGGCATAATGCTATTGTTTTGTAAGATTACGAGAGCTGGTTACAATAAAGATGGTTTTGCTACAAAGTTCTGCAATAAGCTAACATCAAAAAGGTTTAGACCGCATTCCGACGACACGCACTCGCTACGCGCACGCCACGCGCGTCAGCACCCGCGTCTAACTCGCTTTGAAATTTGTTGCATATAATTTGAGTCTTATGACAAGACAATAAATCTGAAATCGTATAAAAAGCGCGGGCGTAGGGCGTAGCGGGGCGGGTGCAGAACGTGTGCGGGGCGAGCGCGGGGGCGGCGCGGAGCGGGAACGAGGTGGGCGCGTGGCGTGTGCGGCTGAACGTCGATAAATGCAATTTCAGATTTTTATTAATTTGCCATAAGACTCAAATTATATGCAACAAATTTCAAAGCGAGTTAGACGCGGCTGTTGACGCGCGTGGCGTGCGCGTAGCGGGTGCGTGTCGTCGGAACGCGGTGATATATACACCTTATACTTGGTGATACTTTTACATTTCAGAATATGCTGTACATCCAGAGTGCCACATACATCACAATTCGGTGACTCTCCTAGCAGTGGATTATTAGAGACTGGTGAAGAAAACAAGATTCTCAAACGCATTATATTATCCAATTACTGGATACAGTTAAGCCAAACTTACGTCGTATTGTCGTTCCTTACCTCCAACGTGTGCATCATTGCTCTCGCAAAGCTGTCGGCGTCCTCCCGGCACGAAAAGTTGAGGCCGTACACCTGACGCGCGTCGCGCCATTGGTGGAAGGTCGCCGTCGCCTGGTTGTACTTCAGTCCGCGCACGATACCGCAGTTAATCACCACCTTTAATAGAAACGGGTTCTATTTAAATTGATGAAATCGGAACGTATATGCAACGGTTTCCTAATAATAAAAGGACAGAAACGGAAAGACAGATCGGCAAATTATTCCACTCCTTTGCCTTTGCTTTGACGAAGCAAACCATTTGGTTTTAACCATCAGTCAGCGCGTAGAATAATATCGACAGCAAAGCGGTGAAGACCCGCCGACGGCCTGGTTGCCCGATCGTGGAAAGAAGAGGAAGGAATTAACGCATGTAATTCATTGCATGCGAAATGCGACATAAAATTTCACTGAAATGCATTTTTAGGAGACTTAAAAATGTTACCCGATATCATCGTCAATAATTCTGAACCGATTTTAATCATAATTTCTTGGGGTGGCCCCACATATATTTGGAAAAAAATCTAACTCTAAAGGTGGAAAAATAGGGGGGATGAAGTTTTTTAATGAACTATTAAGAAGACATTCGAGCTTTTGTTCCTTAGTCCACTCAAAAGGGTCAAAATCAAGGCGTTAATACTATGATATACTATACACTGTCTTAGCACCGACTTCTAAAGCTATTATGAGATAATTATTTTATTCTTTTTAATTTCTTAAAATCGGCTTTTACTTTTATTAAAAAAATCGTAATTTAGTTTCGGGAAAAAACTATTATATATAGCATATTTTATACTGGTACATAAAGCGGCGTAACCACAAAACGAGCCGCGTATATGTAGCGGCACGAAAGTCTAGCGGTGACCGTTACTGCGCATAAGTCGCGCTGATTGGCTCGTGCGTATCGTTCACACGCGCCGATTGGCTCTCGTGCCAATTCGTGCGCGTCCCCTTCACGTTTCGTTCAGCACTAGACTTACGTGCCGCGACTTGTATCGGCACTTAACTGTAAAACACCGCAACGTTCCCGCTATAAGCGGTAATTACTGAGGTCTAACAGGTTATAAATGGTGATGTTATTTTTAGTTTAGAATTTTATGATATTTACTTTGTAAATTGAACTCTCATGTAACATACAACAAATGTGAATATTGCAGCCTCTCAGGTATGTGACGCAATATTTATCGATTCAAGTTATAATGAATTTGTTACATGGTTGAGACATGCTGCAGTTATATCGTGGTTGCAGCACGAATGGGGGGACCACCGCAGGACCACGCTCTCACAGAATACCAGCATAAAATAGCAGCTTAATGCTGCTGTGTTGTGCGTATGGTGAGTGTAGAGAACCGAAGACCCTATTTACTGAAAATGAGGCATTCCATCTCGGCCCTCAGGGGTGACAACTGACAACGCATCTGCATTTTGATTCTTAACTGAGGACAAATTGTCGTTGACGCCGCAAAAAGGCGAGCCTGAATTTTTCAAAAAATTACAGGAGAGCAAGAAAACATTTATTATTCCCCAATTACTAGCTTTTTTCATCAGAAAATTAAATAAATTAGACTTAATGGATAACTACAAATAAGATTAATTAATAATAAACGTTTTCTTGTTCTCCTGTAATTTTTTGAAAAATTGAGGTTCGCACCTTCGCGGCGTTAGCGACGAAATGTAGATGTCTATGGGCCACAGCATCTACTTACTGTGTGCTCGTTTGTCACCCTTATTCTATTTATTAAAAAAAAAACTAGGCGACTTGTGGGAGCAGTCCAATATAGGGCTTAATTTTAAATTTTAATTTTTTTCATTAACTCCATAATCCATTCCATTACAGGCTAGCTGCCTGCTGTAACCCATCTCCTGTTTCAGTTACCTCTCTCGCCTCTTACGACACCTACGATAGGTACGATATGGGGTAGTGGATATTCTTACAACGCCACCACACGGTGGTAAGTACATTAATTAATAATATAATTTTTAGTCATATAATTAAGCTTAAGTTTTCGTTAAGAACTTGTTATCATTTTATACAACTTTATTTTTTACTTATTTCTACGTTATAGATAAATAAGTAGTAGAAGTTAATTTGTACAACCGACTTCAATATAAATAAAATGTGAACCTCATCATTGTAGTCGAAGTCAATCAAATACACATTATCAAGGATACTTAAAAATCTATTAGTCAGATCTTGATCAAATTTATATGCGACCACACGAGAAGCATCAGATTTCAAATAAAAAAAGAACCATCAATATCGGTTCACCTAGAAAAAAGTTATGAGGTAACACACATAAAAGAACAGTCGAAATGAGAACCTCCTCCTTTTTTTGAAGTCGGTTGAAAAATGACAGAATTTCAAATGACTTGTAGGATTTCTGACTTTTGAAGGAATAAGGTATCATGATGATGCTTTGTCACCTCTAAGGACAAATATGGAACGGAATTAAGAACTGTAGTATATTATACTCGTACATAAATAGTAATTAACATTCCCCTGGTGTTGCAGTTGTTCATGGGCTGCGCTAGTCACTTACCATCACGAGCGCCGCATGCTCGTTCGGCCCACTTATATATAAAAACATACGAAAAAATAAAATTTACATCATAAGATAACATTCTAAATATAATGATCTTTAAAATTTTGTTAATTGTACTAAAAAATAGAAAAAGTATAGACATTAAAAAAAACACTCGAATTGAGAACCTCCTCCTTTTTTTGAAGACGGTTGAAAAATGACAGAATTTCAAATGACTTGTAGGATTGTTGACTTATATATAAAAAATACAACAAATAAAATTTACATCATAAGATAACGTTCTAAATCTAATGTTCTCCAAATTTTTTGTTGATTGTGCTATATTTTTGTACTGTTTACTTACTTATTTTATTCACAACCGTACTAGCATTTTATCCGGAATTACCAGAATATTCCACTAAAATTTTCTCGAGGAAATACTCAGTCTAAGTTGTCTTTGTCTCTTTTATTTTCTTTTTTTTTTAATAGACTTTCTACTATAGAACCTATTATATATAGTTGATACATAATAAGCCTATTTACTACAACTTGAACTAACACTAAGTATTTCTAAATCACAAATCCGAAAGCTTTAAGACCAAATCAAGCAAAATGTGTCCCAAGGATATCCACTGAGAAATTTGTGGAATACCAACACTAGACCCGTAGGCAAACTGGCCAAATCGTAACTCAGGAAACGGGTTTGCAATACGAGAAGAGTCCGTCTGAATAAGATTGAATAAAATATATTATATTTTAATGGATGAGGGTTGAAATAAAATAAAATAAGAAAAAGTGAGGAACTCTAATTTTCTACTTATTCTAGCAGTACGAAGAACGACCAGGCGACTAAGAAGATCAGTAATTCAGAAGGAATCTGTCATAAGTCTTAATCGCTTACCTCATGATCATTGAGCTTCCTGCCGACCACGCGGAACGTGTTGTGCTGCGTGTGATGGTAGATGTGGACCTTGGACAGGCCAGAGCTGGAGCCAGAAGGTATCCATCTCTTGGCGTGGTCGTCGTACACCATCACGGACGCGCGGGCACTGCTTATGGATTGCTCGCTGTAAAAATAAACGAAATTATTAGTCGTTGTTTAAAAACATAAATTATGTATTTATCATAGTTAAAATAGACAAAGTCTGTCTACATTTTATTATATTGATTGCGGTGGCAATGTTTCAGCTATAGAAACACTAGATAGTCTATGATCTGTGTCTATGAAGCTATTAATTTCTTTCTCCCGATTTTGTAACATGTACAATTGAAATATTATACGAGTCCATAATTGTCACCTGCATTTTATTTATTTCATTTTACTTAAACAGTTGTATGATAATCGAAACGCTGCCTTAACTAGACTTTCAATTTTAAACATTACCCCCTCCCCCCACCCCTCTCCAATCGCCCACTATGCATTTCTCCAGTGCCGTGGAAGCAGTTTATATTTCTAATTAAATTTCACATCGACAAACACGCTTTTGGATCTGGGACCAAAAACAATAAATAGGAAGCACTCCAAATACTTAAGAATCTAAAACACCAAATGATTCTTATCGTATATTGTCTACCGAGTTCAAACATGAAGAAGTACTCAATTCGACTGTATATTTTTTTAATGTGTGTTACCCTAATAACTTTTTTCGGGGCGAACCGATTTCGATGATTCTTTTTTTTATTTTAAAGCTGATGCTTCTCATGTGGTCCCATATAAATTTGATCAAGTAGGTCTGACCAAGAGTTTTGAGTTATTCTTAATTATTTATATTTCATTCTCATTATTTAACAACAATAATATATAATAAAATGATATATTATATATACGTTGTCACCCGTGTAGACTAAGATGGAATGACTCGTTTCCAGCAAAAAGGGTCTCCGGTTCTCTATACCTACTATACGAAACACGGCAGCGTTAAGCTGCTATTTTACGCTGCTATTCTGTGAGAGTGTGGTCCTTCCCCGGTCGAGCCGACCCATTCGTGCTACAACTATATTATAAATATAGCTGCAGCTTAGTTCTACCACGTACAAAAAAAATGTTGGACGTCCTAAAAACTATTGGAAAGTACATTTCTGTATGTAGTCTATCAACACTAATGTACGTTATATATATCGCTTATACGATATATATATAACGTATAAGCGATATGCTCCGGCTACGCACGGGCAGAGAGTACTATATTTCAATTTTTTTTATATATTTTAATTCATATCACATGATATTATAGTATTGCAATAAAATATATGGATATTTATATTCTTACTAGCGATCCACACCGGCTTATCACGAGTGATCTCTGGATCTCGACAACAGTGCCACCTACCAGGTCCAATTTTGAATCTAGGCCGTACAGGAATCCACACAAGCACACACAAAAAAAAATCATCAAAATCGATCCAACCGTTTAGGAGTTCATTGACATACACACACGGACAGAAGAATTATAATATATATAATAAAGAAAATAGGTAAGTATTTTCCTTTATAGGAAATAATACTTTATTTAAAGCGGCTGAGTAAGTAGGTCTGTACGAAAGGTCTTAACGCGAAGGCGCTCTGTAAAAGGTCAGGCTCGCTCCGAATTACACAACGTTGTTATGAAAGCCCAGACTACGTACTCCTACACGGTTTATTTTTTTAGCCCACGTTTTCATCTTATTTGGCGTATTAAGATTTACAAACAAGATAGTTTACAGTATTAAAAAAGCTTATGATTGGATCGAATGAATGAATGACGAATTGGACGATTAAATATACGAAAGGCCAGAAAGATTGCATGATCTACTTTAAATAGCGATATAACTGTCTCATCATCCTCATCATCATCATAAAAGCCCATCATCCGCATCTGAACATAGATCTTCCTTTAGAATGCCATACCAGAATGACATCACATCGGGGTCATAACTCTGGCTATGGAATGAAAAGGGGGAGATCTGGGTTCGTGTGTTAGTTTAGTACAGAGTTACCGTAGAGCTTTTTTTTATATAAACTGCAATACTACGGAACTTTGATAGCGCGATTTAGGCTTCAGTGCTTATTCGTTTGTGGCGTGACGACAGCGCCGCCACAGAATGTCATTTGCAATGGTTTCTAAGTATTATTTATATTAATGGTTTTTTTATAGGATAGGGTGACAAACTAGCACCCAGTCCACCAGATGGTAGGTAAATGGTTGCTGTGACTCATAAACACTTATCCTAAATAAAGAATCAAAATTCAGATGCGTCGTCACCCGTGAGGGCTAAGATGGAATGCCTCTTTTCCAGTAAAATAGGTCTCCGGTTCTCTACACTCACCATACAAAACACAGCAATGTCAAGCTCTCATTTTACGCTGGTATTGTGTGAGAGCGTGGTCCTTCCCCGGTCGAGCCGACCCATTCGTGCTACAGCTATAGTACTAATATAGCTGCAGCATGGCCACGTATATGATTTTAGTAATTTATAGCTAAATAGACAACAAAGTCCACTGTCGAACATAGGTTTTTTACAGAATAAGGACTACAAACGAGCACACAGACCTCCATCCGAAAAGAAAAATTGTTTCAGTTTCCCTGTATCGCCTGTAATAACTGACATCTACGGGATGATAATATAGGGTAGTTTATTATCCTAGGTTGCCACTCCACGGCCGGCATCCATGTTCAGATATAAAATATCCACCCAAAGTGACAAAGTTAGAGAGACATCCGATACTGTAATCGCCAATCTGTTTATCGTGGCAAATTGTGTATACGTATTCTGTATTGTTATTCTGTGATGCCTATTCTGTTATTAAACTGTTCTATTAACTTTAAGGCAAGAGTTTCTTTTTTGTCCCTGAACATTATATAACGGTTTGCTTCGACTTTCGTAACGCGTACAGCAAAGGAGTGGAATAATTTACCGGCGTCCGTCTTTCCGTCCGAATACAATGTGGGCGTTATCAAGGCAAGCTTGAATAGGCTTCTGTTACGCTGAAACAGTGCGATTTACCATCTAGGTCTTCATCACCACTTACCACCAGATTGTGGTCAAGCACTGGCTGATAATAAGTAAAAAAAAAAAACAATTTTAAAGTAATTGGGAAAAGTTACTCTTAAAAAATTACTAATTAAGATTTCTTCGATATACTAGTAGTATATAATCGTAGAATTAAAGCCTCTTCTTTAGAACCTACTACAACTACTACTAGGAAACTATTTTATTCATCTTTTTGCAAATCCTTTAAAAAATAAAATAAGTTAAATTTTTTTACCATTTGAGTGGTCTAAGGAAGATCACAGGTTCAAAATAACAAGTACAATGTCGTCTAAATAGTTTTTTTTAAATATATGTGGCACCACCCTTGGTAGAACGTATCTAATAAAAAAATTAATCAGTGTAACGGTTCAGCCATTTCTGAGAAATGAATGAAAATACATATAAAACAAGGACTTGTGAAGGGCTGTAATGATGATGATGACATATAAAACATACGCGTCGAATATAGATCCTCTTTGGTTTTTAACTCAGATAAAAAGAATAATATAATATAAGGAAAGATACTAGTGCGGATTTGCCGAGAGTACCTTATAAGGTCGAATTCAGGGCTAGCATCTTTACTATAATATATAATTTACTAACCATGATCACGCATTCGTACTAAACAATTTGTTTCGTTGTTTATAATACATACAGCTAGGAGCGGAATAACTTACAAGTGTCTCTTACCATCCGTTAACAATAAAAACGTCAAGAGTGCACTCTAAATTTGAAGACAACCATGTTGTATGCTTTTGTGCATGAGTAGGGTTTTGTCTACATCACCACATTATGAGGTAGTCAAGCACTGGTTTACAGTAAGCAAAAAATAACCATTCGTCTACTGTTGTGAAGTGTGAACCATTCCTAACATAAGCATTTAAACCTTACTTGGAGGGAATAACGGGAATATTAGTGTACTTTTATTACCGTATTTTCAGTTCGCGGCGCACTTACATGTTTAGTATTTTGTCTCGGCGGCCTGTCTAGCCGAAATAGGGTACAATGATACTGAGTTAGATAGGCACAAAAATTTAAACATCCACAATATAAAGCCGATAAGATGTTGCAAAGGGATTAAGAATTCTTAGAGCTTTAGAACTTAGTTGGATATTAATTTTGGACCTGTTTCCGAGCGTAAATACCTATCGGCGAGTGAGTGACGCATACAGCGCGCTGGATTTGTATTGTTTATTACGCCTAACAACGCTCCTTTTTGCTCTCTTTTTGCTCGGCGCACACTTTTGGGAACCCCCGATGTAATGTTTTGAAAAAAAAAACAGTTGACAACCCTAGCCGCCATCGTTAGAGACATACGAGACAGCTACTGAAATTAGGTTAAAAGGTGTAGGTAGAGCACTTTCTTGCGTCACTAAGTGCTGCAGAATTTACGTAGAAACATAAAAAACCTTATATATACAGGTTCAATTGCGGTTAGAAAGCTTAATCAGCTCGTTTTTTCTTACATTTAGGGTTATATGATCGTAAGTGGATGATGTGGCCCAAGGACATTTACATTTATCCTTGATTAAAAATCAAAATGCAAATGCGTTGTTTTCCCTACGGACAAAGATGGTATACCTCCTTTAATACCCTGTTCTCTGCACTCACCGTATGGAGTATAGCAGAATTATTCTGCTCTTTCACGCTGGAATTTTGTGAGAGCGTGGTGCATTATCTATCGAGCCAACCTACTCGTGATGCAGCCTCAATATAGCTGCAGTGAGGTAGGTACCACATATAATTTTTCAAGTGTAATTTTGTGACTAAATTGATTGATCATATTCACCTTGGACCATTAACAAGATATTTTCCGGCCGGGATTTTTTTTTTATAGGATAGGGTGACAAATGAGCACCTGATGGTAAGTGGTTGCTGTGACCCATAGACATCTATATTTATCCTCAATAAAGAATCAAAATGCAGATGCGTCGTCACCCGTAAGGACTAAGATGGAATGCCTCTTTTCCAGTAAAATGGGTCTCCGGTTCTCTACACTCACAGCAGTGTCAAGCTGCTATTTTACGCTGGTATTCTGTGAGAGCGTGGTCCTTCC